AAAAAAAAAAGGAAAAAGAAAAAAAAAAGGAAAAAGAAAAAAAAAAGGAAAAAGAAAAAAAAAAGGAAAAAGAAAAAAAAAAGGAAAAAGAAAAAAAAAAGGAAAAGGTGGGTTAGCACAGGGAAAAATGTCCTCTGGTCAGGAAGCGGGATAAACTAAACAGCCCTCGAAAACATCCTCCTTCCCCCCTCACGGAGGAGTGGCAGTTGCATAACGTGCTGGCGCTGCCAGCAGCCTTCTCTGCTTAGTCTAATTATATTTTTAAGAAGCCCATGTTGAAGCTTCCCAGGGTTAAGGCAGCCTCACAAGAGCTGGGCAGAGCTTTGTAAACCCGATAGCTTTGCGAACGTTGCGCCTAAGCCCCCGGGCGCCTCGTCTCTCGGATGGGGTGCCCAGCGGGAGCAGCCCCTGCCGCTATTCGAGGAGGACAGCAGGGTCTTCCTCAACAGTGAGGTGCCGAGGGGGGTGTTCCCAGGAGGCACTCTCTCTGACCCCCCCGGCCCCAGCACCGACCCCCCAGCTCTGTGGTGCCACCCGTTACCGAAGGCAAGGTTTGGCTACGTAAACCGGGAGACCTCCAGCGTTTTGGCCAAAAGCCTTACGGCCGGCATCCTGCCAGGCTTCCCCGTCCCTGCTCGCATCCAGCTAGCTCACTAATCACTTCCAGCCCAATAAATACCGTAGGAGTAAAATAAATTCTTCTTTACTAAACTCGTGGCGTTTTCAGCCTTTTTGGATGCAACGGTCCTACGTAACCCACGTAACACTCAGCAGAGCACGTGTGGGTGCGAAACAGGATTCCTCCACGTAGCGGATGAACCGCGCTCAGCGATAAGAGAACTGGAAGGCGGCGGTAGCAGAGAAAGCAGCCTGAAGAAGTGGGGCGCAGGTCCCTAAAGCCAAGGCTGCCGCCGCAGGTCCCTCCCCGGAACCTGCTTCGTGCCAAGCGGCACTTCGGGGGCCCAAGCCGCGGCCGGGCGCCAGCCATCGCCCTGCGGTCGTGACGGTTACGACGGGCCGGGCAGAAACGGAAGGCTGCGAGGTCTGGTTCGCACCGCTGGCGGGGGCCGGCGCGGGGAGGAGAGGGGCGCGGGTGCGAGAGCGGGCGGAGGAGGCCGCGGCGGGGCGGAGCGAGACTTCAGCCGGCGACCGACCGGGGCGGCGAGGGCGGGCCGCGCTGCCG